AGGTGTTGACCTTTACTTTGACTTTGACTTGAGTTGACTCTTGAAAGGGTTAAGAGTATGAAATGGTAATTAAGGAAAGTTATTACGTGTAGGAGTTGAGAGGAGTTAATCCATGCATCGAGGACAGTTCAAACACTTCACGACATTAAGGTGAGTTACCTTCCAGTAGAAGTGGGTTGAAGGCACTAAGGTCGACCCATTAGTAAGGGTTATAGTATAGATAATTATCTTTGTGATAATCATCTGGTATATGGTTATCTGTTATGATTATGTGTTAGTATCTATGATGTTATGTGATATGTGATAGAAGGGGTAGGATAGACCCAAGTACCATTCGATAGGGCCGAAGGGGTATGTCAGCACCAAGATAAGTTAGGCGGTATATGACTTGTATGTTTATGCACTAGGATGCTATGTCGTAGAGTAGGGGGTGAAATAGTCCCCAGTACCGATCGAAATGACCGAAAGGGTAGGCCAGCACCCTGATATGCTAGGTAATGTTATCGATCGACATGACCGAAGGGGTAGGCCAGCACCCTGATATGCTAGGCAAGGTACCGATCGACAGGACCGAAGGGGAGGCCAGCACCCGGATATGCTAGGCAAAGTACCAGTCAACAGGACCGAAGGGATAGTTAATACCCAGTTATGTTATGAAATATGTGTTATGTATGGTATGTGGTATGATGGGGGAAGTCAATACACTTTGTGCTTACAATTTTCAGTTTTGTTTTTCAGGTACCTCTTCTTCGAAGGGGAAGGAGCCGGAACGGTAGCAGCGCATCACACACACACAAGTTTTTTGCATTATGAGATTCTTGGGATTGTACAATGACATTATTACTATTTTTATGATATGATTTTGAAACATGTGATTACGGTTTTATGAAATGATGCGACTCGATGATGTTTTGTTATAAGTGTTTTCTAAATCGTTATATCAAAAATGAAATTTTTTGGTCTTGAAAATTGGGATGTTATAATTTGGTATCAGAGGCTTGGTTTGAGGGATTTGGACACACTCTCGGGAGTGTCTGAACTCAAATCGAGGGTTTGAAAGATTTTCACGAGAAAATAGTTTTTCCAAAAGTTAAAGTAAAGAGTTTTTAGAAAGAACAAGGCGTGTGATGTGTACAATCGACCGAGCTCAAGTAAGTTTTCCCTAAGATACCCATACATTTTATGTTATGATGTGACCTGATTATGAGAACTGCATGCTAGATTAGGGCTAAGGATCTACGAAGGATGCCTTTTATTTCTACTGTATGTGTATGAGAATTACATGCTAAAATAGGGCTAAGGATCTAGGAAGATGCCTTATATGCTTGTTATGTGTGCTTATTGAGTTGCATGATAGTACTGAGTATTCCGTGATATGATAGACTGGATATGATATGCTTGGTTTGGGTTACTCAATGCTTGAATGATGCTTGCTTTGTGCTATTGGGAGTTCTAGTTATCTTTAATTAACTAGTAAACAAATACGCTAAGTTACATATTACGAGGATTAAATAATTTCATAGGGTTAGGTTCAGCCCTATTTTGCAGCTCTCGTTTGAGTCTAACCGTTGTAGGGAGAGATCTCTCATTTGAAGAATTATCTAGTCTTAGTAATATGTAATGGTATTCACGAGCTAGTGAAGGAGAGATGATAGGGACTTCTTATGCAGCTGATGGTAGAGAGTGGGTTGGAGAGTTACCCTAGGGTAAGCCTCGGATGAGATTAGAAGTAGTAGAAGGGACTTGGTGAAGTCGAAGCAATCCTTGAGGAAAGTACGGATAGATGTGGAAGGTAGTGTGGGCCCGTACTACTGAAAGCAGGGGATCCGTACTCGAATCAAGGAGGGCCGAGATAGAACCAAGGAACTTGTAGAGTGTGTGAGACCTCTCAAGATTATGTATGACCCTGACAATTTTATGTATTGTTTCAGAATGGTGATTACGCGTCACGGAGCAGGAGGTTCAGGGTTTGGGACAGGATCAGGTTCAGGTTCAGGTTCAGGTTCAGGATCAGGTTCCGAGCCAGTTGATGACGGACTAAGCAAGTTCATCGCATTTAAGATCATGAGAGGCATCCTTGAGGCAACCCCGATGATTTTCGGGTCGATCAAGGAAGGGATTATCGAGCTGATGGAGGATCACCTCAAGGAGTTCAGGAGTGACATGGCATCTGGCCAAGCGGGGACACGCACACTCTCTTTCAAGGACTTCAGTGGATGTGGTGCACCAGACTTCCATGGTGTGAAGGACCCCATTATTGACAGGAGGTGGATTGCAGACGGAGCTAGAGATTAGTAGGAGTCAGTTGGTGATTTACTGGGAGCCCCAGCCATTGAGGCTATGACTTGGTCGGATTTTGTGGCCAGGTTTAGGGCTGAGTTTGCACCGGTTGTGGAGCTTCAGCAGCTAGCCAGTGAGTTTCTTAACATAAGACATACTACAAAGTCGGTGGCCGAGATTACCGCCAAGTTCAAGGAGAGGGCTTTACTGGTGCCACAGTATGCAGGGGATGAGGAGATGAGGAAGACTCGATACCATGACATGTTGATGGCTAGCATTCTGAAACATGTCAGCTACTTGGCATGCCTGGCATTGGATGACATGATCACGATGGCAAGGGAGATGGAGATTAATATAGAGCACCTCAGGAAGAGGAAGGTAGGGACTGGGTAGGTTATTGGGGTTTGGGGGAAGAAACCCAAGGGATCCAACACTAGGTCGAAGGGCCAACTGGGTCGGGGTCGCTGTGGGAAGTACGGCAAGACCCATGAGGGAGTTTGTAGATTGGGATCATCGGGCTGCTACAAGTGCGACAAGACTGGGCACTTTAGCAAGGATTATACTGCCCCTACCCCTACATTCTAGACATCAGACCTGATTTGCTTCCATTCCAATCAGAAGGGCCATAAAAAGGCTGATTACCCGAGACTAGTATAAACAGCGCCAGTGGCGGCACCAGCTCCAGCGACCCTGCGAATCACAAATGGACCACATACCAAGACAAATACTCCGTTAGTAAGGAACTGAGCCTTCCAATTGACCACTGAGAGGTGCGTGTCGCACCCGATATGGTGATGGGATCGTTCCATGTGAACGGTATCCCAGTCCAGGTGTTATTCGATTTGGGAGCTACCCGATCATTTGTCTCTCTTGCACCTAGCAAGAGGTTCCCTGAGTCTTCGGGCATGTTGGATTGCCCTTTAGAGGTCGAGATTGCTAACGACCGATCAATACGGGCATCAGAGGTTTTCAAAGATTGTGTTTTGAGACTGTATGAGAATTACTACCTAGTAGGTTTGGCTTCCATTCCGTTGCGTGGGAACAAGATTATCATAGGCATGGACTGGTTGAGCCCTAATGGGGCAGTGATCGAATGTACGCAGTAGTTGGTACGGGTCAGGACCCCAAGTAAGGGAGAGTTGGTGATGCGGGGCAAGAGGCCACAACGTGGACCAACTTTATGCTTAGCAGCGAGGGCTAGGCGCTACCTTCAGCAGAGTTACGCAAGGTATGTCGCCTACGTTATGGATACCCGAGAAGCGGGTAAGGCGATTGTGAGTGACGTACCAATGGTGCAAGAGTACGCGGACGTATTCCCAGAGAAGCTGCCTAGGATACCTCCGTAGAGGCAAGTAGAGTTCAGGATCGAAGTAGTCCATGGTACGCCTCTGATAGCCAAGGCACCATATCGGTTGGCTCCTCCTGAAATGCAGGAGTTGTCTACACAGCTGTCGGAGCTATTAGACAAGGGATTTATTAGGCCGAACAATTCACCCTGGGGAGCCTCGATCCTATTTATTAAGAAAAAGGATGGGTCGCATAGGATGTGTATAGATTACCGGGAGCTGAACAAGGTAACGGTGAAGATCCGTTACCCACTCGCAAGGCTTGATGATTTTTTCGACCAACTACAGAGGGCATCTTGGTTTTCCAAGATAGATCTATGCTCAAGCAACCATCAGATGAGGGTTAGAGACAAAGATGTATAGAAGACTGCTTTTTGAACTCGCTATGGTATGATGTTTTGAGATACATTACTTATGATTTTTATTATGATGTTTGAGTGAATTATGGTTTTCTTAAACAATCTAAAATAAAAATTTTGGACGGTATTTTTTGGATGTTTCAACGTCAAATTTGACCGAAGATGCGCTTCAAGTTGTTTTGCAAATGAAGGAAGACGTGAAAAAACGTTACGCTAGTCATGGTTAATTTGTAGTTGTTTTCCAAGTTTTTATATATTTGATTTTTTTTAAGTTATAAGTTTAAGCTTTCTAGTTTTTTATTTTCTAATTTCCTAGGATTTTTTTAATATAATGTTTTTTTAAGTAATGTATTAGTTTTTATTTTTAGTTAATGAAATCTTTTGTTTTTAATTAAAACTAAAAATTTAATTTATTTATAAATTAAAATAATTAAAAAAATGTGACACCATTCATTAGGTATTAGGTGGTATGAAACCATAATTTTGTGTTAAATGATAACATGACGCCTACATGTCACTAGGGGTGGCAAATCGGGCCATCATGTCATGTATTTGTCTGGGACGACACAACACGACAATGTTTTATGTAAAACGAACACGGTACGAAACGATCTCCGGTTTTTTTGAACTAACGCGAAAACGAACCGATTAAAAAACAACAAACACGACACGACACGACAAAGATAACATGAAATAACAATTAATGTATTTAATTAATATTTACTCATACATAACACTAAAAACACCACAAACACGAAAAACACGACAAAAAATGTTAAATCGTATCAAATTTTGAACACGAACACGACACGACACGACACGACATCGTGTTTTTTATACCTGACGCGAACACGACATGAACAAGAATTCGAATTTCAATTTTGTTTCGTATCGTGTATTTTTGTTGTACCGTATCATAAGTCCAACCCCTACATGTCACTAAGCTTTTAGAGGGTGTGGCACCGCTTCCTAGTTACTACACTTTATTAACAATAAAAACCTATATATGGAATGATTATATTTGAGTAGAGGCACCCTCAAGGGAAATAGTTGTAGTCGTAGTCTCGTAGATATCATCTGCGATGGCTTCCCGTGTAACAAACGGGTGCCCCAACAACTGTGCTGCTGTCCATCTCTTTGCTGGATCCCTCTGCAAACATCGTCCCACAAAATCTTGAAACTCTGTGGAAGCGGTCGCCGGCGCTTTAGGTGGCGGAGACATACAAATCGCCATCATAAGACTCGCCCAATCATCGGATCTTCCTACCTCAAACGGTAAAATCCCCATATACAGTTCTAAAATGCTTACACCCATGCTCCATATATCTCCAGCGTAACCATCGTTTTTTCCTTGGTTCAGGTCCGTGTTTATCCTTTCCGGGCACATGTAAGCAATCGTACCCACTGGATCTTTACAAGGATGCGTCGTCTGTTCCAAGATCCTCGTAACCCCGGAAATCGCAATCTTCACTTCTTTTTTGGAATTAGTTAAGAGATTTGAAGGTTTGATATGACGATGGGCGATGTTATTCCGGTGGAGGTAGTGGAGACCGGAGAGAATCTGACGGGTGAGGTCAGCCAAAGAGGATTCGTCGGACAAGAGCGTGCCTTGAAGAGATCCACAGTTCATGTATTCAAGAAGAACCTGAAATTCACCATCACGATCAAACACGTCATGACACTTGACGATGTTGATGTTATCGATGCCATGCAGGAGCTTGATTTGATGAAGGATCTGGCCGCGGAAATCATCATCGTGATTTCCGTAGATTACCTTGAGGGCGAAGTGGGTGTCGGAGGGGCGGTGGAGGACCTTGTAGACGGGACCCCAGGAGCCGTTACCGATTCTGATGAAGTCTGACAAGTCAAGGTGTTGTTGGTTTGACATAGGGGCGGAGGAGGGTAGGAGAGGACTATGAACGGCGATCTGCGGCTGAGGTAAGGGTAGGTCAGGACGACGGCGAGGGCGAGTATTGATCGACGTGGTTGGGCGTCATTCGCATTCAATTCGTTGGTGTTTGGGTTAAGATGATGGATGTGTACGCATGTATATATAACCAGATGAGAAAGTGAGAAAAGAAGTAACATAAGAAAATGGTTTATAGGGTTTGAAGTTTCTGAGAAGAAGAGTTCATGAAGACGAAGCGTGGAAGATGATATTCAAATGTGTTTGGGAGACAGTGGAAGTCATAGAAAGAAATGGTCTTGTTGTAGCTCCAAGAAATATTTGTTTAATAACAATAAACCCCATTTGTCTATCTTTTTCTAGATTTCCATAATTGACCGACACCTAAAATCTTTTCGTTATCATTTACACAAGTATTTTTCGTTACTCCTACATCTAACTCCCGTAACATATATATTTTCTACTAATATAAAACCATTTATACAAGAACTTATACACTATTTACAACACTTTGTAAACTTTGACACAATCTGCTTGTTTATTTTAGGTATTTATTAGTTTTTTTTTATTTGAACCTTCGACTTCAAGAACAAGGACAACATCGGATACTATTAGGCTATAAGCCCTGTATTTATTAGTTAACTTTGGTCAACCTTTTGAGAGTCCAAATAAAATAATGTAAACAAACTTATTAACGTAAATAACATGTTTTGATAAATTGTGTTCTTCTAACTTACTTACAGAGTTTGTTTGGGTCGAAACAAAATTACGCTCCTACCGTTGTTTGTTTTAACACGGATTGTTTTTACAACAATACTTCATGCATGATTGTTTGTGTTTCCAGTGCAATAAAAACATGGAATATCTTTTGAACTTAGAAATGACATATGAAACCGATTTGATCTAGATTTGAAAAACAATTTTCACACCATACATTGCCTCAATCACTACGTCTCTCCTTCCCCTTGCTCTCGGGTGTGCTTTGAGGATGGAAAGTTTTGAAGACATATCTTCTTATCCAATCATCAGACACATGAACTTTGTATTTGGTGTTATATGAACTTTTTTTTTTGTTATTTAATAGAACTTGTAAACACTACATTGGTATTTGAATTGAGTTGTTTTACAAAATTTATTTAGAAAAAAATATTAGTGTGAACTCCATTTGAATATGTATCCGAGTTTGATAAATAGTCCTTGAAAATCATATCAAGGACTCATATAACGAAAAGGGAGTCAGAGGAAACATATTTGAGAGTAAATGAGATGATGTCAAAATTTGATATCTAGTCCCTAAATCTTATCATGTAATGGTACGATGTAAAATTAGGAACATGAAGAAAATCTATTTGATTGAATTATACAGTATAACAGACTGATTTTCTGTCTACGATATTGCCATCTATTATATGCACCGATTGTCACTCTTATATACATACAATAAAAAAAATTACTATATAGAATTAGGTATTTAGGACTTACGAATGATTATCTAAACCTACACATAATGTCATTAGAGACTAATTATTAACAATTTAAGTGTTTATTTTCTAACATTGTATATTAATTGTTTACCTCATAACTACATGAATTTGTTTTCATCATGGTTTTTTCTATTATTCATATACAAAAATACGTATTTACATAGCTATTGTTTACCTTTTAGCCATAAAGCATCACTTAAACTATATACACTAGTTTGTTTTACCATGAATACTATATACCTTACAACCACATGTATTTACTTTCAATGTGTTATTTTCTATCATTTAGATACAAAAAAACTTTTAACACGAGTCACACATAATCATTAAAATTATGTTTATACACTTTTAACAGACACATCATGCATTTTTCTCTATCAATATGAGTAATATATACCATAAACTCACATGAAATAATGACAAAACTCAGACCAAACCCGAACCCAATTTCGTAATTTACTCTTTAACCTAACATTAAAATCAAAACCTAAGACACTTCAAAATTGATTGTTTACCAAAGAATCGAACCAAAAAAGAAGTTTATTAAATGTATAGCATTAAATTGTGTTGTATGAAACGGAAACATACGGATTTTTACATGTACTTGACAATGGATAACAGAACAGTTAAAAGAAAACATGTAACGCAGGCTCGGCTTCATTTCATAAATCATTTTGACAATTTTACCCTTAGCCTTATCCTTCCTTTTTGATGCTCTTTCCCATATGATCATACATGTGTAGCCTCCCCTCACAAAATTACAACACTTCATCATCTCCACCTACCTAGTCATCATCTACATTAACAATTTCAAAACCAAGTTAAATCAAATCTTTCCAAATACACAAATTGTTATATTAAAAATATCAACACTCACCTGATTTATTATCAATGTGTACAAAGAAACTTGCAGCAACAATGAGATAACACAGAATCAGCATCAACCCTTTGAAGTAATTTGATGTTCCTTCCTACACACACACACACACCATATCATTACTTATAAACTTATCCAATATAAACTTATAATAAACACACACACAATTAAATACCTGTAGCATAAATGCCACGACTAAAACTGTGATAAAGAGAGAAGCAGTTTCAAAGAGCTGAAAATTCAAGTCCATTGGTTGACCCATGATCCACCCCACAACCACACAAAATGGGATCTATTCGTGAAAAAAGAAAGAAAAATATATCACATTACATTATTAAGATTTATTAACCTTATTGTGATATTAGAAACAATAAGAAGAAAAGGGTTCATGGTATTAGTATTACCACAAACATTGATATCTGAGTTGAAGATCCAATTGCTACTCCAAGTGTGATGTCCTATAAATAAAAAAAGGTTACATATATAAATATATAATCAACATATCTCATACATTACCTATGTTGCTAATAAAATCATTATTGTGATTTGTGAAATTTGCTTTTTGATAATGTAAACTTACAAGCTTGTCTTTCATGGCAAACATTATGGCACTTGCATGTTCAGCAGCATTACCAACAATAGGAAGCAAGATTACACTGATAAAAGACACTGGCATATTCCATGAGTCTGATGCACCCTGAAAAATTACAATCGACATTATATACTTGAATCATCTAATAATCTATGGAAGACAAAATGTATAAAACTTAAAATTGTATGAAATGTTACCTGAATGGCATCAACAAGATATCCAGATAATACAGACACCCACAATGTTAAAATGGTAAGCCAAGCAATTGCTTCCCACATAGTAATTTCAGGGACATCTTCTTCTTCAGGTTCATCACCATTGTTTTCTCTTTCCTCATCAACAGAATCATAAAGATTAGCATGACTCTTGAGCTGGAAGAAAAGATAGCTTGCATATGCCACCAACATGATACAGCTACTGAATCTTGAAAGTGCTAATTCTGATTTCCCAAAATGAACTTCTGTATGTGTAAAATGAAGAACAGCTGGAAAGAGGATTCCCATTACAGCCATCAGCAGCAGCCCTGAACTAACTATTGCAGCTGTCTGTAAACACAAATGATGACTAAATGAGTGATTCCAGAGATCTAAATTCCAACATACAAAAGGAATGGAATCAGATTCAGAAATGGTGAATTACCTGGTTGAAACGTTGAACTTTTGGATAATGCACAATGCCACCAGTAAAGAAAGCACATCCAAGAACTAACAGCATGTTTGATAAGATGGATCCTAACAATGATTGTTGAACAACCCTAATCATCCCGTTTTTTAATGCATATATTGAAATAATCATTTCTGTTGCATTGCCAAATGTGGCATTTAGCAGACCTCCAACTGTATTCCCTGTATAACATGCAAGCTGCCTGAAACATATGAAAAAAGAGTTGATATATATATATACAGCATATTCAAGAAGAAAGGAAAAGAAAACCAAAGAAATGAAGAAGTGAACTTCTTGGTTCTTACTCGGTTGCATAACCTAGCCGTTCAGCTAAAGGTGTAATTCCCAGTAAGCTGAAAAAGAAAACCCATCCCTGAATAGAAAAGTTGAAGATGAGAAGTACATTAAGACCAAATTCTTCAGTTTCAGAGTCATGGAGAAGCTTAAAGAGAGATGAGAGAAGATTCTTACATGTCGTCCTGTCATGTAGTGCATCAATACTGCCAGAGGTCCGAAGGGAAGCAGGACATTGATCTTTGCTTTGAATAAGACGACATACACGCTATGGAAAGCGGTGAATTGAAGCTTTCTGAGGGTGCGGAATTTGGGGATAGATGTATGAGATGATGTCTCGAACTGAAAAGATTGCTTTGCACCTGCGGATTGTGATAAAGTTAACGGGCTCTCTTCGTCAGATTCAAAATCAATCTTCTCTAGTGTTGATTCCATCTTGCTAGATCCCATCTGCAAGGTTCATAAACTTTGTATTAACTGGATTGATTGAAGATGGATTCGTTAATTTCTGCATCAGACAGCTTATTGGCGTGCAAATTTCTACCATTAACGGATCCTAAATCATGGTATGGACTTTGAAATTGGCAATTTTTAGAATAAACGTTATCGTGAACAGTAGAAGCAGAGTAGACTATGTCGGAAGAATGTCTAAGATTAAGTGTAAACTAGAAACAAGGTGCAATAATACATAAAAACTACTTGAGAGCAAAATAGTAACGAAATCAAACAACAATGCCCACATCTGACGGAGAAATATAAGTGATCTTGAAGCAAAAAAGGACAGATCTTGTTATCGTTTAAGTAAGACAAAAATCCAAACTTAAAGTTGCGAAAGATGATGTGCAAACCAACAAGAGACGAAGTGGGTTGAATGCAAGATGGGTGATTCACAGACAAAGGGAAGTAAGTAACCAGAAATTAAGCGAACTCACCTTGACAACTCAAAGTCGAAGGAAGAAGGTTGAAGATGGTGAAGTCCAAGTGAGATTTAAATCCATAAGCAGATCACATGATGCTGTAAGTGAAATCTGGACGGCAAATTCGTAAAACGGATCAATGATTGGTGAAAGGTAATAAACTAATTGAAATTAGGAGAAAAATCGAAAAGAGAAAGAGGGTTTGATTTGAAAGAAGAAGAAGAAGAAAGGTATTAAGGGAGAGATTAGAGAAGAGGGAGGGCGGAGATTGGTGGGGAGTTGAAGTGGGCAAGGCGGCATGTAGGAGCAGAAGCCAGGAGGAAGCTTCCTCCTTATCGTGAGAGTTCGTAATCTTTCTACTTAAATAAATAAATAAACAAATATAGTTTTTTTGGAGGCATTGATCAAGAATTCAACGGTGGAGATTAGTTGTAATTGATATTTGGGGTCATGGATTTGACTCATGAAGGTGGTCAACGGTTGGTTAGAACATGAAGAAAGTGTTGCAACTTACAAGTTGGGTCTTTTGTGTGTTTTCTTACAAGCTACAGCCATTAAAATACGTTTTTGAATTTGGAAGGAATATAATATAATTATACCAAAATAGCATGTTCAAATCTTTTGGAATAAACAATTGTGTTGAAAAATAAGATCATCTTATAATGATACGAATGAAGAAAAATTACAAGGTTTCTAAGTTGAAGGATTTTTTGTAAATAAAATTAGAAAATAGATTTTATGGTTAAATGTACGAAACATCTTATTTACGATATCAAAGTTATTCCAAAAATAGTGTTGGATAAAGAAACATAAATCTAAAAAGAGCAAAGATTAAAATAGTGTTGGATAAAGAAACAGAAATTTAAAAAGAGCAAAGATTTATCGATGACCAAACATGTTTTGAATTCATTTTAGAAACATGATTTGCCTTAAAATTGTATACGATTAGGGTCTTATAGTCTCAGAATGATTGATTTGATCTTATTTTTTGTTCATTGTCTGGTTGTGGTCTTAGAGTGGAATCTATTATTCGAAAGTTTGTTTGATCATGTTCTATGTATAATTTGCATGCATAAGACACCATGTTATGGTTGAGTTCTGGTTTGATATAGATGGAGCAAATCTTAGGATAACCTAGGATTTGAGCTATGCAATAACCTGTGAGATATATTTTGTTCTGGGACGAATTAGGGTTATCAGGTAGAGCTTGGGAAAGGTACAAGTAGGTGTAAAAGGTAGTATTGGGCCCAGTTGAGATAAAATCTCTAAATATCGAAAGATTCAAACAGGTAATAGGAAACAAGAACACAAGAATGGATCAAGATATACTTAATGATTCAAAGTCACACCTCAAAAGAACTCGATGAAGAATTGCTACTGTAGAGGCATGTAGGGTTACAAAGCTATTTCCAAAAATTACAAACACGGTGTATGCATGCACCTTAAATAGTTAAACCTTAATAATCAATCAACGGGTGGACAAGCCTAACCCCGATTACATAATGGACTATTCTATTATATAAAATGACGCAACACTTATACCCAACAATCTCCCCCTTTGCATCAATTGAGGCGGGAGGCTCTTCACTGTTTTGTCTTCTTTGTGGTCTTGAAGAGCTTGGGGATGACTGCGAGACGAGTCTTGCAAAACTCTGTGTACCATCATATCATATCAGAGTAATCATTCTTCGCAGCTTTGTCATTCAGTTTGCATTGACTTGTGGTCTCCAAAAATAACTTCAAGCAAGTTGTAGAGAACAAATGCTTATTAGACGATACGAAGAGGCACTTTTGCAAGTTACCACGAGCTTCTTAACCACGATGAAACATCACTGTCCAGTTATCTTTCTTGATCTTACACAACTGCATCTTATTAAAGTCTTTCACCTTGCTAGTGGAGAGAACAATGGGTTTCCTCTTCAAAACTGTGGTGATTTCAATGTCAAACTTCGCCACTTCATCAACGTACGAAGTTAGCATTCGCTTTATATGCCCCAGAAGTTCGTACTTCTTTTCTTCTCTAAAAAGGAAATGCAATAAAACGATCCAATCATAGGGAATTAAGCACGGAAGATCAACCAAGGAAAACTCGTGAACAACACTTTCGGATCCTCTTGTCGTTTTGAATTTGACATTCACTGTAACACCGTAAAATTTAAGACAATTTTTCGCAATTTAAAACATATTTTCCAAACACAATTATTAACAGAATCTCATTGTATCATATCTTCGTTTTACAAAAACATTTCCCAAGATCAAAATACATAAAATCTCATGCGTGTGTACGAATCATGCTGGCGCCTACCCGTGATCATCACTGGTACCTAAAACACATAACACATAACATTGTACGCATAAAGCTTAGTGATTTCTCCAGAATACCATACATAACACATACTAGCCACTCGAGGCTATAACTCTGTGGGCCCTTGGGACCTAACTCTGTGGACCCTTTAGTCCTAGCTCTGTGAACCTTCCGGTTCTAACTCTAATATACTCTGATATACACATGGCATAAATCACATAGAAATAATGCAGTGCAACACATCACATAAATAGCATACAATTACTCTGTCATATAACTCTAATTACCACTCAAGGTAAAGTATAGTGAGAAAACTCACCTCAGATGTCTCGGTAAATCTCTGACTCGGTAGAAATACGATCTAGCCTCCGCCTAATCACATAAAGTAAATACTCTCATAAATATAACTCTCGGGACTAGACTCAACCCTCTCTTGGCACCCTTAGAAGGGTAAAAGACCATTTTACCCCTCTTTTGGCTCAAAGGCCCCACTATTGACCAAACCCTAAAAGTCACCAAAAGTCAACGGTCAAACTTTGACCCGACTCGTCGAGTGCACTTGGGCGACTCGACGAGTCTACACGTGTCCACTAACTCTCTAGTCTCGCTTGGCAAGTCGAATCCCTCCCCTTGCTCGACGAGTCACAGCTAGCATGAATCGCAGGGCCACCCCGACTCAACTTGCCGAGTCTCAAGATCAACTCGGTGAGTTCCGCCTTGAACTCCAGTCCTCTAATCCCACTCTGACTCACTGAGTTATTCCCCCAACTCGGCAAGTCTACTCACTGAGCGATTTACGAGAAACCCTAACCCTACTCGCCGAGTCTTCCCTTGGACTCAGCGAGTTCATGCCATGCACAAACTCAATTGACCTCCTGAGGTCAGATCTGTTCCTTTGATCCATAAATCTGACCTTCCCAAGCCTGATAAACACGTAAAGCTCGAATCTTGACACCCATGGGACGTCTAGGAGGTTTCACTTGGTGATTTAGCCGCAAAAATAACATCCTAAGCTCAACACCTCCATACCTCAACATAAAGCAAGCTGAGATGAGCTCTTTAGACCACTATGGGTCCAGATCCGAAGTCTCAAAGCGAATAAGGGCCATATTCTCACAATTTCTTCCATTAAAGGACATGAAAAATCTACATCTATGGATTCCTTCAGCAAAACAGATAAAGGGGTGATATAGTACCTCAAAGATGAAGTCTTTTGCTCGAAAACCATAGATGCACCACCTCCTTGGTCTCCTCTAAGCTGGAAACACCTCCTTCTTGCAAGAATCAACCACAAAGATCAAGAAATGGCTCCTTTCCTCTCACAATCGCTCTAGCTCTTTTAGGGTTTCTCTCTGGCGTTTGGTGGCTGCAAATGACGGCCCTAAGGGCCTTTAAATAGGTCCCAAACCTGGGAAATTAGGGTTTCATTAAACAGCGCGGACTCGCCGAGTCCATTCATGAACCCGTATGAGAATCCGCGACCCTACTCGGCAAGTCTAAGCACCAGCTCGCCGAGTCCCTCCACAAACTCCAAAATAAATGAATAAAATAATATACCTATGAATCCGGATGTTACAATTCTCCCCCACTAGAATCAGACTTCGCCCTCGAAGTCTCATTCTGCAAACAACTCTGGATGCTACTCACGCATCTCGCGCTCCCGCTCCCAAGTCAGCTCTGACCCTTTCCGATGCTGCCACTGGACCTGCACCAGAGGCACTTCCTTATTCCTCAGAACCTTGATCTTCCGATCCCTAATCACCACCAGTCTCTCAACATAGTTCAGGCTCACATCCACCTGAATATCCTCTAATGGTACCACTGCCAACTCGTCGGCTATACACTTTCTCAACTGCGACGCGTGGAAGGTATCATGAATCTGACCCAACTCTACAGGAAGCTCCAAACGGTAGGCTACCCTGCCTACTCTCGCGATCACCCTGAAAGGTCCAATATATCGGGGCCCCAACTTGCCCCTCTTCCTGAATCGGATCACTCCTTTCCAAGGAGAGACCTTCAGGAGCACGAAGTTGCCGACCTGAAACTCGAGCTCGGACTGGCGCCTGTCCGCATAACTCTTCTGACGACTCTGAGCGGTCAACAACCTCTGTCTGACCTGCTGTATCCACTCCATCATTTAAAGCACGATTTCTATACTACCCATCACACGTTGCCCTACCTCTCCCCAGCAAATGGGGGTCCGACACCTCCTC